TATGCTCTAAGAAGAAGAGCGAAACGATCATGAAGAAAATTCCAAGCTCCCTTGATGTTATCTGAAGAGCTTGCTGCTTCCTCAACTTGTTCAGCTGCTGAAGGGACTTCATCCAAAATATAAATTTGAGCAAAACGGAACAATGAATCGTGGAAATATGGCTCACACACGCTTATTTCGAAAGCAAAAATTGTCGATTCAGCAACAAAGCCAAGAGCATGGAACAGACGCATCCGTGCATCTTCACGTTTCGATTTTGGAAGTCCTGAAAACAGTATTCTTCCAAGGAAAAAAATTGTAGTTTAAGCTATCGTTTAATAGCTTTTCTTTCCAATTGCTTCTATTCCTGAAAATCTGGCGTCAAATAATTCACGTTCTCCAATATTTCCCTCGGTATTCCGCACATATTAACGAATAAAGTGCGTAAATCGTACGTTCATTTTGTTCGTTAATAAAATTTTGTTTTCCATAAATAGACAAATGGAAAATTACCAAAACACTCGTTAACATTTCAGTGCGATAATCGATGGAGTAGTTTACAGAATACGGGATGGAGTGAAAAGGGCGAGAAGAGGAGAGCAACCTTGGGGTCAGATATCAATGGTTGGTTTTGTGATCTTCTGGACAAAATTTTTATACAAATATACTCCAAATAATTCGCAACCTACCAATTTTCAGCTTATAAATGTCTCGAATGTTTTTCTCGAGAGGTATAAAACCATTATGCAACAGAAAATCACGATTACTTCGCCAGCCGTAGAAAATATTCACGGGTTCTAAAGGTTTATAATCTCGAACAGCAATGACTTCTGCACAGTCAAATTCATCCGAAAAATGTACTGCTTCATGGAAAGCGCTCTCAGTGTAACTGTGATTTGCCATATCCAGAAATGGTATCAATCCAGGTATCTAATTTAAAAAAGATCCAATTGTGGAACTACAAAAAAAAGACATGAAAAAAAGGTGCCGTCTGGGTCATTATGTCTAGTTTCAAATTTCAAAATTTTGAAGTCAGAACGTCAAAAGTTCAAAGTTCTATGTGTTTACAATAGCATATCTTGCACAGAAAATTCCCGTTCGGCAAAAATGAGGACAGGTCATTTATGTCACAAATGTCACAAAATTGGCGTGATGCCGCCTGATTTGTGTTCAGTGAATAAATTTTATACACATAATTGAAATCATAGTGATACTACATCAAAAAAAAAAAAAAAAATGAAATTTCAACAATTTAAGAGACATACCATTCGTGGTTGACCTATGTCATCTTTCCATACTTCACTCGGTATCATATTAATACGCGTTGAGATGCAAGCTACGGACCATCGATATAGGTTGAACGTGAAATTTGCTGCAGTAAGAGGAGAATTAACATATATTGGTTCCAGCTCTGATATCTTGTCTTTTGATTTCTAAAACATTCTACTCAACCATTTTGTCATTAAAGTGAAGTAACAACATTCATTATAAATAGAAATAACGTGCTCGTCAACTTTTCAAATGAACCAACTTTGAAATCAAATTTTAAAATAAAAATTAATTTAATCGACGTTTTAAAAATTTTACAAATTTCATTTAGGATGTTATTTATTCCTGCAGGATAAACGAAAGAAGACTTGAGGAGTTTTCTTGAGTACAACAGATTGAATCAATAAACTGTTTCTCCCAAATTGTAGAAGAATAAAACAAAAATATAACTGAAAAGTTTTCTTTGCAATAACGAGTGAGAAAGTATTTACTAGAAAATTATTTCATCAAATAATGTTACTTTCTTTCTATGACGAAATTCATCACTGCGTATAATTTCCAATAAGAAATGAATAAATTGTCTTGAAACATTTCTATACAGTAATAACGATTCCTCGAATAATGGTGATGGACGCAAACACTAAAAAAGGAAAGTAATTAATATGCTAAATTATTTGAATCATTACCAGATGATTATTAAATGTTACGCACGCACTTCCCGTTAAGAATAGGAACAGTGCTAGAAAAGAGGTCCATGATACTAAACGATAACTATTCTTTTTGATTCATCCATTCGCCCGTAAGGCTGCTATGGCTTAAATCACTCAGCTTTTAGCTGTGAATATGCGACGAATGCAGAAATACATCATGTCTTCTTCCACTAAGGGAACTTACAACTCAGTCATTATGACTTCCTTATCGCAATAGGAGGATAGTTGGATTTTAAAAACGGAGGCAAAGCATAAAGTAGAAAAATATCGGACAACTAGAACCAAAGGAAGAAAATCCTTTTAACAGTTTAGTCGCATGAGCTGGCAGACGAATAAGAAAAGACTGCTACTGTCACTCAATCCTGTCAGATGAAAAAGGGTAGAATCCTATAGATCCTTGATATCTCTACCTAAAAAAGCTGCTACTGACTTGATTTCATTTACACAAAGATACCACTTGTATATAGTTCACCAACCTGTAATTGCTCAACAGTGAAGAAGAGAGGAGTATCGAAGCATTCAGGAAGCACTTTAATGTATGGCTGCCAATGTGACTCAGGGATCAGTTTCTGACAGCATAACATCATTGCCAAAGCAACATTTTCCATTGAACGTATTATTATATCTCGGTGAAATGCACGCCGAAAATTTTATTTTCATGGATCAAGTTGAGAAAATATCACTTAAATCTATAGTCAATTTAGAAGTATTCAACATCTGACCAAAAATGATGAATTTACTTTAAGAAAGACGATCGTCGAGCCTGGTCTAATGAGAAGATTGCCTTTCGAGGTACTCTTAACAACTCTGACCCAACCGGAGCATAATCTGAACTTATCAAACCAAATCCATCCATATTTTCTTCATATGCAATTTCTACGAAACAATGAGAAATTCCAACCATATTGGCCCAATGCAGAAAATCTGCTAAAGCTGCTTTACGCCGTTCCGAGTATCTGTAACAAAATTGACCCACATATTTTTAGATTCCGACATTAAAAAAGAACAAAAAAGAACAAG